ATCAATGAAATGTCTGCAAGAAAATAACCAAATAACCAAGCTCAGAGTCTACCAAGAATCCCCCATTTCAAACCTGAGTTACAAACGTTCTCCTTAATCAGTACTTTATTAATGCAACACAGAAATTGCAGTCATATCCAGATATAATAATAATTAAAATACTATTTTAATTAATGTAAGATTTGTCTTATGTATAAATGGCAACATTTGCAAACATAACAGAATGAAGAAAATTAAGATGTAAAAAAAATAAGTTCATCTTTATCAAAGTTTTTGTTAAATTTAATGTAATTGCATAAAGTTTATAAATGAAAATGCCACCAGGGGGCACATGAAGAACTCACATAAGCCATTTAAGATACAATATCTCTAGAAAAATTAGATCTGTTTCGGTTCAGCAGTAGTTTTAGTGATATATTTAATGATATTTTAATATCTTCAAAAATATATGATTTTAATATTTACCAGATTATAATTTGTAATTATATATATATAATATATATAAATTTGTGTGTGTGTGTGTGTGTGTGTGTGTGTGTGTGTGTGTGTGTGTTCCAGCATAGCTCTGGAACGCCTCGAGCAATTTCAACCAAACATGGTACACAGATGACTTGCCCTCTGGAAAAAAATACTGTAGGGATAAGACACCCCTAACATGCCTTGGGTGTGTGTGTGTCTGTGTGTGTGTGTTCCATCATAACTCTGGAATAAAATGAAAAGGAATGAATTATATCTACCCTGTTTCTCCAACAATACGGCCTCCCCCAATAGGAAGTCCCAGCATGTTTTATAGACATGAAATGAAATTAAGCCCCTCCCCCCAAATTAAGGCCTATATTAAAACATGCAAAATGGGGGGAATGGTGGGGGGGCTTGCCGTTAGGAAGTACTTTTGTTGTACACCCAGATATGGTGCTGCCTACGTTGACCCCGATACAAAGTGCCCCACCAACACCGAGGTCAACATCCAAGCTGTCGCCGCCCGCCCTCCCAAAGATGCAAGGGGGAGGGGAATTAAGTCACTGCCGAAAAGACAACCTAGCCATTTTTTCGGGGCTCAAAAAAAAAAAAAGACCCGGCCTTATTATATGAGAAACACGGTATAGTGTCAAATCACAGTACTTTTGACAGTGATAGTATATATTTTGGATTCATGTTCTGTTAAGATACAGCCTGTTGTGCCTTAAAATGGCTTCTACTGTACAGCACAGTGGAGCTGCCATGGTAATGACTTTATAGTACTCCACAAGGGGAATCCCTCTGGTAAGGGGGATTGGTTCTTAAAAAAAACAAGGGAGCTCCCTCTGGTAAGGAGGATTGGTTCTTTAAAAATAACACCCTGGACCCTCAGCTTCAAGCAAAGAGGGGAAGTTGTCAGGAAGGTGCCTGCTAACGCAGATAACCACCTCAAACGCTGTTCCCTGTAGAATTTTTCCAAGGCTTTTGGCCAGGGCAATTAGGTCTCTAATTCTCACCACAGTGATTGAGGCAACAGGGCCAGGCCAAAGTGTCTTTTTCTTACATTTACTTTATTGTATTCCATAATAATATATTTCATTGCTGTAAATGATGCCTCCAAGGAAATGTCAGGTAATTGGCCAAGTGCAATCAAAGGCTACAAAAAGGAAACACCAGTGTAGACAAGAAACTCCCAAGGAGAGGAATGGAAGATTTGTGATGCTGTGTAAGAGAGCGGCTACATCTAGACATTTAGAGACAGTACAACACTGTGCAGCCTGACTACACTATAGGAGAGATAGAGTTGTTACATCTACAGCTTCCTTTGTAATTTGTTTACTCTACTTAAAACTTTTAAAACCCTGTAAATAAAGTTACTTTGATTTGACACTATAGATATAATTCATTCCTTTTCCTGTCTAATACAGGATTGGGGTAAATAAATACCCAGGCAATGCCGGGTTATCAGCTAGTGAAATAAATATTATCCCTGCAAGATCATGCTTATTCAGTAGTTTAAAGAAATTCACAAACATCTAACTGCTCAGAACTAATTGCAAAAGATATAATCTTATGAATAAAGCCTAATTAGATGTCACTTTTCTCATAATCTTCCTATTACCGTGTTTTCTCCAAAATAAGACCCACCCCATAAATAAGTCCTAGACTGATTTTTTGGGGGGTGGGTGTGCCTAATATAAGCCTTACCCCCAAAATAATCCTGGGGATGGATGTGGCCCACTGACCCCTTGGCGCAGTGAAGATACCTGTAAGTCTGAGCATAGGAGCAGAGGCAGGGGGATATCACTTTAAAGGATGTAATTTATAAGTAATTGCATCAATACCAAGGAACAGTAAATTAGACTTATTCAAAACTCTGTCAAGATTATATTCATTCATTTATTCTTTAAATTGACAAATACAGATAATTTTCAAGTTATGACAGTCATAGAGCCTGAATATTTCAGTCACAATTCAAGATAATCTTAAGTGAATCAGATTATGTGAACATGCTCTGATCCTGGAGTCCCAAATGCATATGTTAAATAATGCATACGTTAAATAATGCATACATTAAGTGTGCATGGGGTGCATCAGTGATGCCTGCCATGGGCTTCCCAAGGCCTGCCCCCATCCCTGAAACACCCTATGTTCCACTTCCCACTCTTTGGGGTGTCTGTAGCCACCTCCCAATGGCTTGCTTACCTTGTGAAGATCTGAAGAGCTCAGGAGGTGGGGGAAAGGAAGGACAGCAGTCTCTCTTGTTGGACCATTGGGGGAATTCTAGTGGCATCTTTTTTCCTTTTTCCATCCTCAGTGCACATTTTGAAACCTGAGCTGCTATAATTCTCAGCAAATGAGGCCTTCCCCCTCCCTCAGCATTGCCACTTTAACTTTTAATAAACTGCATTGCTTATTCTCCAGGTGGGAGAGACAGTTCAGGTGAATGGAAAAAAAACTTTTAGTGCATGTTTTGAAACCTCTGTGGACATAGGGAACACAACATACTACAAACAAAACACAAATATTTACCATCTTTATTTTTAAGTTAAACCTCTGGTTTCTCCAGAAGCTCCAAATGTATCCTTAGAGAATAGTAATGACAAGCGGTTGCAACATAATCCTTTATTATTTATTTATTATCCATCTTGTGATTCAAAATAACTCTACTTAATTTTATTAGCTAATCTGGTCCCCAATCCAAGGAAAAAAGTATTAGTATGTTAAGGCAGGTAGAACACATTAAAGGAGTCAGGAAGAGGTAATAGGAAGCACCCTCGTCCTTTTGTCTTCTACTAAGGGTCATTTTTGACTGGCGTATTCCTCAAGGTATATTAGTATATGTGTTAAAAATTATGTGATTACTGATTACTGTGATCAGTAATGTACAATACCATAAATGTATCATCCCTACAATTACAGCAACACAATTACTGTTTTAATTTGGTGAATCAGTAATCCTTCCCTGGATAGACATTTCTATTTGAGTAATCCCAGTTTTTAAGACAAGAACAGCAAATCTGGGTATGTGAATTTCAGCTACCAGATTCTGTTCCACATTCCAGAAATGCCACATATACTATACAAGAATATACACATCAACACTGCAGTATTGGTATTTTCAAGGCTTCTTTCCACATGGTATCACACAATCTGCCATTAGTCTACTACTACCAATTTACCACAATATTTGATTGTTGTGTTGGAAAGAAGAGAAAATATACAGGGACAGAAACCTATTTGGCTCACATCTGAATGCAGACCAATTTATTCTTGTATTTCCTGACAGTTTGAACAATTAATCAGTAGAACAACTTGCCTCCAGAAGTTGTGGGTGCTCTAACAATGGAGATTTTTAAGAAGACAACTATTTGCTTGAAATGGTATAGAGGTTTTTACTTCAGCAGGGGGAGTTGGACTAGAAGACTCAAAGATCCTTTCCTATTCTGTTATCCTATTATTTGTAAATCAGATAATTGTAATTCAAAATCTGCATTTCCCTGTATTTTGTTGTGGCATTTGCCAAATATAAAAAAATACATCAGAAATCCATTTGTATAAAAATACATATATTATGAAAACAATGTACAAAATATACTGTGTGTACTTTTGCCTGTATGCAGGTTTTGCTAACAAAATTTTAGCACATTTTAGAAAAAAAGTGTAACAAAATATTCATATTAATGTAAGCTTTTTTTTAAGTGATAACTGTAAAAAATGAAAGACTGAATGGATGTATCTACAAATTCCTAGCTTATGTAGGCTATAACATTTTTAAAATTATTCTCTTAGTGTGGCACAGTTTAAGATTAGGTTACAGGATGTTCCTAAAGCTGATCCAATTTGGTTGCCTAATATTTCAAATATCTATGCAAAGAAGAAAATTTTAACAGGCTTCCATGAGCAGCATGAACTACTATATTCTCTGTATTGTATGCAAGATATTTGACATCGGAAATTATTCCTAAACATTTTCCTGGTCCTAATATCCACCAATAATGCTAAGTGAGTCTCAAGGACAATATTAAATGTCTAAAACAGGTAATGAATGCTCTGTCTAGACAATGGATGCAGACAATGTCATTTATCTTCTCTTAGCTCTCCCATCTATTAGAAGCTTTGATGGCAAGTGAGAAAAAAATGGCATAATGTCTGCATCTATTATATGAATAGAGAAATTTAGTTGGCCTTGCCTAAACTGAAATCATGATAAAGTTTTTTTAAATGCTATAAATTCTTATCCAGAGTTCAAATTAAGACCCAGATGGTCTTAATTCTGTAAATATTTAAAAGACCAGAGCTTAATTTTATCACAAACCATAAATGGAATATAAAGCTCTAAAACAATGCACACGTTTCCAATATTTTCTCTAACAAGTCTCTCTTCTGTGTCTTAAAGAAGAGGGTACTAAGCAGATATTCATCAGACACAGTCGTACCAGTATGCTTATACAAAACATTGGAGGAAATGTTGCGTATCTATTAAAAAAACAGGAATCTGGTTATTGAAAAGACATTTCTTAGCAAAGCATAGTACTCACACAACTGAGTTTTTCCCAGAATTCATGTCCTTTCTCCATCTTTCTCAGACTTGGTGGAATATACCAGAAACAAATATTTGCATATTCTGGCTGAAAAGATAAGGAAAAATAATCTTCCATACATAAAAAGAAAATTTACCAGACTACTAAATCAATACAAATGTAACTGTCTAAATGGGTAGGGAGCAATCTTACCTCAATTCACACACACACAAATGGACACAAAAGTTTGGGTATCAATTCCATTAAAGATTGTTAATCTAATTCAGTGTTTCTATATAAAATGATGATGGCTTGTATAATTAACCATTGATAATTCCTGAGTAAAGTTTATATCTGTTAAATTTGTATTTTGCATTTTCAGCATGAATGTTGTTCTATGCCAGGGGTGTCAAACTCGTTACCACATGGTGTCGTCACATGAAGTAGCGCAACTTCCCCCCCTTTACTAAACTGGGGGTGGGGGTGGCCAGAACATGACCCTCCAGCCCTGGGCTGCAAGTATGACATGATATTCTTGTTATAGTTGCATAACTTGTTCTCAATACTTATGAGGTTAAATCAGAATGGAAATGCTGAAAATAGGAAAGAGATAGAAGGATTTAGCTAGCGTGTATTCTATTTTTCTGAAAATGAACGCTATCTCAATTACAATCTATTCTTCCTCCCAAATGAATAGAAACTACTAGCAGTGCTGAATTCTTTCATGAAAGAGCATTTACTCTGTTTATAACATCATTTTTTCCTTCTTTCAAAAAATATATTAAATACATTTAATCATCAAGGATAATTCCATTGTCAGCAGGAAGAGATAGCCAAGTGTGTTATTGGTGGTGATGAAATAAAACGACCTTTTTAAAGCACATCCAGACAAAGTAATCTTTATCTTCTAGAATACTGAATTTAATATTAGCTCTCATGAGATAAAAAAGAATTACAAATTATCTGGAAATATGTTTTTCTAATTTACACAATCAGTTCATTTTCCTCTTCTTTCGGGGCAATCATTACCAAGTTTTCTACTTGAGCAAAAACTATGGTGCCCTCTCTCCTTGTATTTAAAAACACTGTCAAGCTGGAATTATGTAAGAGCTATTGTCATTATTTATAGATGCTAGGTTGGATTTTTTTCTTCTTTTATGCTTTATTTTATATATTATACTGTAAACACACTAGTCACTTGAAATATGGAGTAACTAAATTAATAAAAATGGAGAGGGAAGGCTCACATAGAACCAAACTAAAAGTAGTTTATTTTGGTTATGTCTTCATGTGCTGCATTAACTGAGTTATCTTGATGTCTTTTGCAAACCCAACAGATTGTGGTTTATTGTGTGCCCTAATTTAGTACAATTTGCAAAATGAACACTGACAGATGCTACCACCTCCTTTTTGGTTTTATTTCATATTTTTCCCTAAGAAGGAGAGACATGACAAAGTTACAGAACACTTCAAACAATCAAGAGACCTTTTGGGATGGATGGCAAGATAAGAATGGGTATCATGGTGAGTCTGAAATATTGATTATCCATAAGACTGTCTGTCCACTCACTTAATTAAAAGAGCTTTTTATTTTAAAATAAATGGGAATCTGACATATTGAAAAGAGAAAAAAGAAAACGCCAGCCTCTAGGATTAGCTTTATTTCCAATAATGTTTCAAAGTTCTCACAAAGTACTTGTTAGCACATAAAAACAGAGATTAGTTGGGCTTGATTTTCTACTAAAAAAGGAGAACTCAACAGTTGAAATGAGGAATCCAGCACCATTTTCTGTTTCATTATACACCTATGAAGCCCACAATAAAAAGCTGTAGTAGGAACAGAAATTTAGGGAATGTATGTACATATCTATGAATTATGTACATATATGTACTTACGTATATATGTGTATATGTGGTTGGGGCAAGAAGGATCAATTGCTTACCCCCATTAAGTGGATATGTTTTGAGTAACCAAATAGTCACTCTATGAATATGAAAAGATTCCCAGGGCAACTATCTAGTATGAGTATCAATTATGTAACAATCTTCAACTCCTACACTGCAAAAACATATGGACTATTCTACTTGACCAGGGTAAAGCTACAGACGCAATTTGCATAGACTTCTACAAAGCCTTTGATTCAGTGGTACATGACAAACTACTGTTAAAACGAAACTCTTATGGCATTTCCGGATCCCTTCATAAGTGGATTACTGTGTTCCTGTCAAACAGGCAACAAATAGTAAAAATAGGGAGCGCTATATCAAACCCTGCTCTAGTTAACAGCAGTGTCCTCCAAGGCAGCGTTCTAGGACCCACACTCTTTATACTCTATATAAATGACCTTTGCAATCAACTTATAAGCAACTGTGTCCTCTTTGCGGATGACGTAAAACTGTTCAACACCACTGGCCATGCTACTATCCTTCAATGCGACCTTGATTACGTGTCTGAATGGTCAAACATCTGGCAACTCCAAATCTCAACCAACAAATGCTCTGTCCTACACATTGGTAAAAAAAATCAGTACACCAAATACAAACTAGGTGGACCCGACCTCATTGATTATCCTCACTCTGCCAAGGACTTTGGAGTTCTCATATCAAATGACCTAAGCGCCAGAGGTCACTGTAACAGTATTGTCAAAAAGGTATTAAGAGTTGTAAATCTAATCTTATGAAGCTTCTCTTCCGGAAATATTGAATTGCTAACTAAAGCATACAAAACTTTTGCCAGACCAATACTCAAATACAGCTCATCAGTCTGGAATCTGCACTGCATATCGGACATTAATACAATTGAGCGAATCCAGAAGTATTTCACGAGAAGAGTACTACACTGCTCTGCTCACAACAGAATACCCTATATCACCAGGCTTGAGATTTTGGGCTTGGACAACCTTGAACTACACCGCCTATGGTTAGACTTAAGCGTAGCACACAAAATTATCTGCTACAATACCCTACCAGTCAATGACTACTTTAGCTACAGCCACAAAAATACAAGAGCACACAATAGATACAAACTCAATGTAAACCGCTTCAAACTTGATTGCAAAAAGTACGACTTCAGCAACAGAGTGGTCAATGCCTGGAATGCACTACCTGACTCTGTTGTTACATCCTCTAACTCCCACTCCTTTAACCTCAAACTATCCACTATTGACCTCACCCCATTCCTAAGAGGTCTGTAAGGGGTATGCATAAGTACACCATCATGCCCACCGTCCCTGTCCTATTGTCCCCATTTATTCATACCTATTTTCTGTATTCTTACTCATGTTTATACTTATATGTATTATCTTGTAAGCAATTGACAAATCAAACAAACAAACAAATAAATAAATAAATTCCCAAGCAAGTTTTGATCTTGAAAATGACTGGCTGTTATCTTGAAACAGAAGTATTAAATTAAGTATAAACAGAAGTATGACCCTCTAATTCTGTCCTACCTAGACTATATACCACATTATTATTCCTTCAATGTATCACTTACTATGCCACATGTGCTGATATTGCTACTCCTAATCTATCCTTGAATAAGTAAACTCTGGACAATCAATTCTCTGTTAATTTCTGCTTATTCTGTGAAGTTTTCTCATTCATTGATGTTTTTACATCAAACAGCCTTTTTTAAAACTTTTTGTTTAGATGTACTGCTTTGAAATTAAAACAAGAAGTCCATTAAAATTCTAGCACTCACCAGTCAGCAATTATCAGAATCTGCAATCCAAGTCCCCTTATCTGGAGAAATGCAATTGTTTTCCTTTACTTTTCCTCTGGATACTAGCTAATTTTCATTTATTTTTTAACCACCCATGTGTCTATATTGTCTGGTTTTCTATTATTTATTTCTAACTTCTTGTTCAGAATTGTCTCTAATCCTAACTCCAATTTAAAATAGTAGCAAAATATTATTCTGCATGACACTGGAAAGACTTCCATGTTTCTTTTTTATTTCTGCAAGTTAAGTTTTTGAAGTCTAGAAATGGAAGTGTGGCAACCCATGCATTTTATCTCCTCTTTGCTGATATTGCGAGAAACATAATTTTAGGAAAGGTAATTAAGAATGGGTCTTGGCATCTTTTGGATATTTGGGGGGTATTGCAGACCAGCCTTACCTAATGCAGAGGTCATCAGATAGGTCAGAATGTAACACTAATCATCCATAATCATGGATGCATGAAGAAAGTTGAAATTTTGTACAGTCAGAGGTGAAATAATGATCCTGTTGCTAACAGTTATTTTTTTATAGCTGCATTTGATCTGGAAGCATAGCACTTAGAACAGCTGTAGATGCTATAGTCGGCTTAAGAGAATTCTGATATATAGCAGAACTTAATGTAAAGTGATTACATGTTACATGTCTCAGAAAATAACTATCAGGATTACATTCCTGTTTTTTTTAAATATTCCATTACCCACTCTTCACATTATAACACCTTTCCCAATCTGATCCCTGATGTGTTAGATAGCAATTCTGATCAATTTCAAGTCAACGTGGATAGTACATCAATTTTGGAAAGATTAGATTGGGAACTAGGAGACTCATGTCAGTGTAATAATCCCTACAGAAATTGTCTTACAATAACTGGGGCATGATACTGTAGACTCCTTACATGTGACGGTTTAGGATAGTATGAAATTCATAATGAATTCACAGCAGTCATTTATTCTAAAGTACTCAGCTTATCAAGAGAACATCTAAAGCTTTACATATTTTTATCTTTCATATGCAACACGAAAATTTATTTTGAAATATTCTAATGAGGAAGATTTTATTTTAAGAAATGAGGAAAACATCCTTATGTAAAATACCTTATTTTGTTTCAATCCAATTGTTTCTATTTTGTTTCAGTTCAATTGCATGGTGAATTATTTCTTATCATCTAAATAAGGCATGGCAAGTAATCAAGGTGATGATCTAAAATACTGCCTATACTTCATACCTTTTAGCATTCCTTGTATCATTAGTTCCAAAATGGTGGCGCAAAGTGCTAAACTTTGTTGGGTGGGAATTGGGGTGGTGGTGGTGATTTTTATTTATTTATTTATTTATTCTAGATTTTGTTCTATTATACTTTATTAATTTATTTGATTCTTTTCATTAGTTTTTATTGTTTTTTATTTTTTATTTAATTTTAAATATGATTTTACATCCTGTAAGCCACCTCGAGTCGCCATAGGAAGCAATATAAATTAAATAAATAAATAAACAAATAAATAAATGAACTGTATTTAACTTACCTCCAGAAGCAACTGAAATCCTTCTCTCTTCTTAATTTCATCCACTAAGTATCTGAAAAACAAAAGCATAATGTCTAGAGTTAATTTAATAATGTACACATAGATACAGATGTTCACATTTCAGGTTATTAGATGCATCTATATTTTCTTTCAGCCTGAGAAACAACACTCCAAATATAGGTGAGGTTAAGTCCAGTAGATGGGATCACTGTTTATTTTATATATTTGTCCCTGTATATTTTAAAATAATAATAATAGCTATTATTATTATTATTATTATTATTATTATTATTATTATTATTTGCCTACTTTTCTGAAAAGGCAATTCTAAGTAGCTTACAAATCATAAAAAGATGAATAAAAAAGAATTAAAATTTAACACTATGCAAACAAACAAACAAACAAACAACAAACAAACAAAAAACAAACCCAGGAACCAAGAAATGGATGCTACAAGGATGATGTCTTCTTACGCTGTCAGCCACCTCCATTAATGAGGGCTATCTTTGAGGTACCAAGACAACTGGAAAAGCCAAGTTTTATACCCTTTTGTAAGGCCAACAGGGTGGGGGCAGTTCTCAGTTCTGGTGAGAGTGTTCCCCGGGTTCAGAGCCACAGAGAAAAAGCCTCCATGACCCTCCATCACATAATTTGTAAGCACAGTCGTCCCCAACCTTTCGGCTTGAGGGGGAGAGAGAAATGGTTCTGTGTCAGTGGCAGGCGCATGTCGGGCATGCACTGCTCACACAAATGGAGCAATCGCTTGACACTTGTGCGGTCCAGTTTCAAAAGAGCCATGGCCTAGGGGTTGGGGACCCCTGCCTTAGTAAATGGAATCCCCAGGCCTCTTCCACTAGTATGAATGGGATGGACTAGTCCCATTGGGGTGAGACATTTCTTAGATCCCTGGAACCATGCCATATAGCATCTTGAATTTGTTTGAGTAGCAATGATAAATAATGAAGCTCACACATCTCTGGTCTTATAGGTGCCACCCTAAGAGCCCCCAGAACTGTGTGCATTGCTACTTCTGAACCAACTGCAATAACATTAAGCATCATTACATTTTGTATTTCTTTTTTTAAAAAAGACTAGCAATATTTCAAGAAAGTGTGTGAGGGATACTTTTTTTTAAATTGCAGAGTCTTTTCAATGGTATGGCATGGTGATAAATATACATTTGCAACTATTCATTTGTTTGTTTTTTTAGCTATTCTAATAATATAACCCTTTTTTTTCAAATTTTAATTTAAATGCAAACATGCATTTTAAGACACAAAAACATAAACAAATTGCAGCAAGTGAATTAAAAGTGCCAGCTTTCACACAGATACTGTCTCATGACTTGGAGTTATTGAGCAAGAAGATGTCTGAATCAGTTAATACTAACTGGGCAGTTTTTGAAGAGAGAATGGAAGAAAGACTTCTAAAGAGGAAAGAGGAAATGGAAGTAATTAAGAAGATTGAAGAATCTGTTAGACAAAGTTTTGGAGAGGTAAAATAAATTAATGATAAAGTGGACATTTTGAAAGCAAGCAGAAGTTAAAACATGAAAAAAGTTTTAATTGGTTTAGTATTAATATAATTGAGGGAGAAAGAACTCTGCTTGAGAGTCAATGTGAATCCAGAGGATTCTGGTAAAAATATCAGAGTAAATTTTTCATTTTTTTAAGAATGGTATGAGACACAGAGGCTGAAATCAGTAAAGGGGATACGATAAATATGTAAAGTTAAAAAAAATATCCCAAGAAATATACTTGCGTACTTTGTTAGAAACAAGTCTAGAGACTAAGCAGCATTTTAATACTAGACTGAAAATGGATAATAACAATGCAATTGTGCTTAAAGAAATTCCAGTTAGAATATTGAAACCAGAATTTTTCTTTCTAGGACTGAAAGTTAATTAAATTGTAATAAAGAGCCGTCCAATGCCATTTTTATACACAAAGATAGAAAGATGTGGCAAAACTTACAATGGAGGAATGCTTGGTGAAAATGACAGAACTTGCTGAAATGGCTAAATTAACTTCATTGATTTAAGGAAAAGACAATATCTACATTTATTGATGAAGGGACTTATGCATAAAAAAGAAAAAAATAAATTTTATGATTTTGATGATTAGATAGAATAGATTATAGAAAGAAGAAACTTATGGCACAACTTTACACAGAGAGGGTAAAATATAATTGTAGGTCAGAAGCCACATTTTTATATATTTTTTCTGTTTTATATATTTTTCTTTCTATGCCTTTAGCCTTTTCTTTTTTACTCCTTTTCATTTTAGTTTGCATTAGTTCTTACTGTTGTTAAAACTCTCAATAAAAGTATACATGTTTATAATTTAAGAATGAAGCCATAAATAGAAAGAATTCTGCATTACAATACACAAGAACCAAACATCTACAAACATGCGTGCTTCAAAGTTTGAATGTGTGGCTTTCCCCTCCCACATTTCTAATCAGTGGATATTTAACTAGTATCTTGATAGATTTGCAAGGGATGTAATCTATGTTGACATTAAAAAAAACTTCTCTCTAGCTTGGGAACCACTGGTTTCTATCTCACCAGCTGCATTTTTTTTAATAAAAAGTTTTTTATTTTTATAACAAAAACAAAAAATAAAACCATCTTTCAGTTATACAGTGTATTGACTGGGTAATATATCTTGTGCACATATTAATATTTGTATACATTTCTTACTAAGTTTACATTCATATTATAACCTTTTCAGCATTATATATCATTATAGCAATATCATTTAATTTCTGACTTTATTTTCCAACCATTTATGAAATAAATCCCAAATAATTTCTTCTTGTTCTCTAATTGCCAATGTTTATACTCATTTCTGCACATTCCAATATTTTCTTAATCACCCCTTCCTCCACTGGAATCTTTTCATTTTTCCAATTTTGAGAAAATACAATTCTAGCTGCTGTTAATGTATGTATAATTAAATATATTTTTTCTTTACTATAATTCTCAGGTAGGACCCCAATAAAAATATCTCAGGTTTTAAGTCTATATGTTGTTTTATCATCTTTTCCAACCATGTATGTATTTTTGTCCAATATATTTTGGCTTCTGTGCATGTCCATCAAATATTGTAATATGATCCAGGTATTTGATGACATTTCCAACATTTTGCTGATTTGTCTTTAAACATCTTTGCCAGTCTTGCCAGGGGAAGATGCCATCTTTTAAAACATCTTATACAAATTTTCTTTATAAGCTGTTGACATTGTTAATTTATAGTTTCTATCCCATAGTTTCTGCCATTTAACTAAGACTATCCCATAGCCAATTCCACTACCACCCCGGCTATCACTGTCTCCTTGACTTGTTCTTCTTCTAATTTCACTCCTTATAAAAAAAAACCATACAATTTTTAATAATCTTTTCTTCAGTGCCTGTTAACATTTTATCTAAATCTGTCAATTCATTATAAAACCCATCTGTTTTAACATATTTTTCATATCTAGAATGTAATTGCATATATGAGTACCAATTCATATCAATTCCTTGTTCATTTAATTCTTGCTTTGTTTTTGAGTTCACCCCTTTCATTTAAAACATCATTATATCTAACAATTATATCTAACAATTTTAAAAACATTTGGATATATAAATGCCTCCATTATTGATAACCAGACTGGTATTTTCATATAATGTTGTTCCCTTATTTTCTCCCATACTGACAATAAAGCATCTCTAACATAATGTCTTTGAAAATAACTGTGTATCTTATTTTTCTTTCTTTTTTTTTTGCAAGTTTTATTGGTTTTTAAAGACAAACAAAAACAAACAAAACATAAAAACATTCAACTTTCTTTCATAAGTGTACAAGCAGTGTGTCGGTTGGTTTACAAAAAATTTTGTGCATCCATTTCATAGTCTCAATCACAGTTACATTGCATAATAACTCATATTATCAATCAAAAATGGAATGCCCTAGTATCACTATTAAACAATCATTTAACTGTAATTTTGTTCATTCATACTTTGCGAGATAACTATAATTTACTTAGTTTATTTTATAACAATTCATATAGTCTTCCCAAATCTATCCTAAAGACATTTTATAGATATAATAACAAGAAAAGAAAAGAAATACATCTTTATATATTCATGATTTTCTAAAATTCTACATATTCTATTATTGTATTTTATTACCGTATATACTCGAGTATAAGTCGACCCGAATATAAGCTGAGGCACCTAATTTTACCACAAAAACTGGGAAAACTTATTGACTTGAGTATAAGCCGAGGGTGGGAAATGCAGCAGCTACTGGTAAATTTCAAAAATAAAAATAGATACCAATAAAAACTTTCACTAGGACAGTTGAGAATAAGTTTGATGTTCACAATTTCCTCTTTGAAAGAGACCAGTAAATAGGAAACAAGAAGATGAAGAAAAAGAAGTGTGTTTTTTCACACTTTTCACACTGCAGTGAACAAAAATGGCATCGTAGGAACAGGCTTATTCTCAGTCCAAAGGTTTTTTTGTGATTTCTTCCCTGAGAGAGAGAGAGAGAGAGATCATAAGAACGGCTCTTGCTCTTTTCTGATCTCTCTCTCTCTCTCTCTCTCCCCGTAATACAGTCAAGCCCTT